ACATGTGCACTACTACTGTCAGTGTGTGGAGATATACCAAGTGTCAATATGTCAATGTGACATATGTGGACAGTGGACAGATATCTTTGTAAGCCAATAAATCGACTTGTATTGTCTATTGTGTATATGTTAATTTAAAGTATTCAGGAAGATATTGGCAAGATGTGTAACAAGATTTTTTTAAGAAAGGCAAAAGGATACAAAAATCACTTTTTCCAAGTGAAATGGTTCACCTGAAACTTGGACACAAACTTGGCAGTTACTGGCGTTAAAAATCATGTGGAAAAGCAATAAGGAAGACTTTTGTTTAAACAATGTCTCAAATGTCTCTGAAAATTTACTGGCCAAAATGTGATTGAATAAATGAAATATAGATGTATGTTTAATGCTATACTAGGTTACATTCCAGGCATAGTAATAACATTTTTATGAGACAACCATGTGACGGTGATAGCTTAGAGCACCTCTAAAAAAAAAGACAGAAATTCAATCTAGGTTTATATAATTTCTAGTCTTGATGTGCAAAACCCCAGTGCATGTTTCCTAATGGTGTAGCACTAATTCCTTATTGACCACACTCTATTTGCAGAGATGTGACGTTCTCCCATCTCATTTACATAAGAATTTCTTGTTAGAGCCCTCTTTAAACAGCAATTACTGCTGTACACTTTGGAGGTTTTCAGGCAACAGTGGACAGCTGGATTCCTACCCGCTGAGCCTCTCCAGTCTAATGAGCCTGGATTTGGTAGCATCATAACTTTTAATTATTTGGATTTGTAACTATAATTACAGAGTATAGTAATATAATATGTATCCACAAAGTAGTAGTGGGGTGAGAGTGTATTTGTTGTTGGGCCATTAAAATGTAGACTGGTCCAAGTGACTCCTACGAAATGGCTGCTCATACCATGACAAATCCACCTCCATCTTTTACACCTGGCAAATCCCAGGCTTCTTCTGCTTTTGCTTCTTCTTCTTCTTCTTCAGTATTTTATTTGACCTTTAGACATCTGTTAAATTTCAGTCTTTTGGAGTTAAATCTGACATTTTCAATAGCGTAATATGCAACAACAGTGTAAAATTAAGAATAGTTTAGTATGCAATTTGTAATAGAATAAGGTGAAATTTACCATTACCAACACATTCACACTGTTATTGTGAAACAATATGTTATTGTGGAAGATTTTTCCATTTTATTACTGTGACCTTATTATATTGTGAATTTTCATAGAAAAATATAATACTGTGTATATGAAAAATCCAAACTTACTACGTTTTACTGCCTCCTAATTAGGCATAAAGGTTTTCTTTTAAGTCGCACGAAAGCTCTGAAGAACACACAAGTTTATCAAGTTAATTATTGATAAAAACATGGTGCAAACCAAAACAGAGAGCTCAGCATAGGTCTCAGCATAGGTCTGTAAACAGAGTGTGGGCAAAATCATCAAAGCCGCCATTAAGGATTTGCCTAACGCTGTGTACACTTTCTGTTATGACTTTGGTACCTGGAAATTTTAATCAGTTTAACGAAAATTACTCATCAGAAACATTTTCAAGATTACCTCTGAACAAGGTCGACTTTATCCGTCGTTTATTAGCTTATTAGATTGATTGATTGATTGATTAGTTAATCTTTCATACAGGCTACAGAAATAAGCTAACAACTTGAATCACTTCTAATAATAGTTTAGTCCGTAATAAACCACACGTGGACGTCAACTATAAGCATGACGCTTTCTTCAAGAATCAATGAGGCGAGAGCGAAGAGCTCATATAATTCCAATACTTTCTGGAGAAGAGAGACTGCTGCTTCAGTGGTGCGCACAGTTTGATGGTGGGGTAGATATTGCAGGAAGGTTACACAACATTCTCATTGGCTCAGAAGTCACAGACCTCATTATATAAAGCGAGTGTGCCTCATCTAGCAGGCAGCAGCCTTTTACCGCTGCCAAGCGATCAGACTTGGAGTCGTACGAGCGGGAAAATACCTTTTACGCACAGCGCGCTTGGAGAGTTGCGCTCAAGCAACAGTTTCTCAATCAACAGGTAGGCTAAGTGATCCAGCTAACGACAGATTGTGTGTATTGTTTGTTGTGTGTGCTTTTTGTTGTTGTTGTTTTTTAAGTTAATTCCGGTTTATCTCTTCAGATTGAAGAGACATTATCTAATACCCTGATCTAATTATAATCGTTTCATGAAGAGCTTTGTGTTTGCTTCAAGCGTTTATTCTACAAGATAAGAACAATTAGCCCTATAAAAGTTAATTTAAAATCAAATCATGTTTACAACACTGAACTACTTATACCATGATTTTATGAGCCTCCTCAGTCAGGTCCGTCAATTTAGGATTCCCCCCCCATCCTTTTTTTTTTTTTTTTTGTCAGGTGCATGTTGACATTGTGGTGTTTTCTCTATTTCCGCTCAATTTGGCTGCAGCTGCGTGAGCGACATGTGGCTCTTGGAGAAGCTGCGCAGCTCCGTGGAGAGCAGTGGGGCTCAGCAGACCCCTCAGACCACAGAGGCCATTCCTGTGGCTGTTTATGCCAATGTGCTAACCCCAGAGAAGATCCCAGACTTCTTCATCCCCCCCAAACTCATCTGCTGCCCTCCAGAGGAGTCCCTGAGCCCTGAGCCTCAGCCCCGCGCTGCTCTGAGACCCTCCTCCTCAGATCACTCCATCTGCAGCCAGAGCCCCCGAGCCCGTAGCAGCCCGCGCCTCTTCGGACGCAGTCTGCAGAAATCTGCTAATCGCCACATCATCCAGATCGAGAGTGCAGATGAGCCTGGCTCCACAGATAAACCATCAGCGCACCCCAACACCAACGCAGACCCTCAGTCACAGACTGCCATGTCTCTGCCTTATGTCCCCAAGGCCCAGACCTCCTATGGCTTCTCCACCTTGGTGGAGTCACCCCACACCCGGAGAAAAGAGAGCCTGTTCCACAGTGACCCCAGCAGTCCCCTCACCTCCCCCAACTCTCAGAGGCGCTCCCAAGGTGGGACACTGCTGACCCCTGCCGATCCCAACCCCTACAGGTACTTCAGTGGAGGAGAGAGTGACACCTGTTCCTCTGCTGAATCCTCACCCTTCAACTCCCCTCTGCTGTCCCGCTCTGCATCTCTACTGCGCTCTATCACACAGGAGACACAAGCCAAGGTGGGGGTGCTGTATTCTAACACATCTACTAGGTGTTGCTGAAGTTATTTATAAAGGTATTACTAAAATGCTCTGTTTTTCTCAAAGGTGTCTCGTGCTAAGCGCTCTCTAGCACGCCACAGCTCCTTGTCCACAGACGAGTGCAGCTCTGCAGACAACAGCCCTAACATGCAGAGGCGTCGCAACCGCTGCCCCCCCTCCCCCGCCTTCAGAGGATCCAAGGCAGGGAACTCGAGGGGCACCTCTGCCGACCTCCTACAGCGAGAACACACCATTAACCTGCACAAGGGGGGCACCCTTCGTCTCAGCACACACTATGACCCTGAGGCGTCCAGGTTGAGAGTGCGAGTTCTAGCAGCTGAGGCATTATACAACAGGGAGACTGATGTAAAGAGTATCAACTGCTGCGTGGCACTGTACCTTAACCCGGGCAAACAGCAGAAGCAGAGGAGCACTATAATCAAGAATAGTAGAAACCCAGTGTTTAATGAAGACTTCTTTTTTGATTCGCTCCCACAAGCTCAAATCAAAAGTCTGGCCATGAAGGTGAAGGTTGTCAACAAAGGCACCAGCCTGAAGAGAGATGTGCTTTTAGGAGAGAGAGAGGTGCTGCTGAGTGAGCTGCTGGCAGGACTTTAGGGAATACCTGTCAAGACAAGAGCTCTAAGACTTTAATGCCCCTTTCCTCTCCAGCTGCCTTTTCATCCACTTCACAAGTTTAATATTGTGATGCCAAAAGTATCCCCCATTTGCTTTCTACAGACAGGAGACCACTGCTACTTCTATATTAACTCCTGTTTTTAGCGTTGTTTCAAACTATGCTAACCTGTTGCTGTGGATGTACTCCTCCAAACATGTTGCCTTCCTATGATGTTTATGTGCTCAAGTGTATTTATACTTGCCTGTACCTTTGTATAAAATATAAAGACCAAATGTGGATTTTTTGCACGTCTGTTTAAAATTCAGAAAGCCTCCTTGTACTTGAACAACTTAATTATTAATTTTTGATTGAAATTGAATTTATTTTATTGTTGTGAGATGTTTGTGAATAAAAAAATATAATTATTTACCAAGGATTTGTTCTTTCAAGGAACTATTTGATTAAATTGTTTTTAATAATACCATGAATTTCAAATCACACTCTGCTCATGTGCTCACCTTCACTAATAAGTTGGATTCCTGTTCCTCTGAGACTGCTCTTAATTGTAGATTATATTATACATTTTTAGATCTTAAAGCTACATCCAATACATGACACTAGAGGGGAAAACAGTTGACAAACTGGACATCAAGCAACAGGCAGAAGTTCAGCACAGAAGGGCTCTACGAGCCAAATGATCAATCCATATAAAACAACTACCCCCTCTACTGGTGATAAAGTTGTACTGACATTTCAAATACTAAACTAAATAAAAACGAAACCAAATTGCAAAATATATAGCCTAAGTAAATTACAAGTATCAATTAACAGTGAATACATTTACATATTCTTATTGCATTCATAAAGAAAGTTTAGTTAGTAATCTGGTGATTCATTGGGTTTCTTAACCTACAGTTTCTATACTATGACTAGAAGAACTCGTCGGTCAGGTAGATGGTGTTTCTCTTTAAAAATATATACAGTACAATCATCGTTGCCGCGGAACGAGGGAGCACCTTGTTGAGGCATAACCCAATTATAACAAATGAGGCGACGAATCAACTCAGCTGATATGTTTCCAACCCGACTGCATTGTGGGTAATGAGGTTTTGCAATTGGTCACATGTGTGCTTACCGTTCTAACCCAAACTACAAATCCCATAATGCCTCACTGGAGAATCGTAAACATAGATCTGTCAAACAACACAAACGCCATCTTGACAGCAGCCTCAAAATGGCAGAAAGATGAGAGGCAGAAAAAGAGCCCTTAGTAAGAACCCGTCTCTCGGCGTTTCATCTCCAAACTCGTCTGTTTTTCTGTGATCGGGTGGTTATGGGGTTGATGTACAGCTCTGGAGAACTCGGTGTGTAAAATGGATATAACCACGGCGGTTTACAACGCTGCCAGAGATGGTAAGCTAAAACTTATCCAGAAGTTGCTGAGCAACAAAAGTCCAGAGGAACTGGAAGCTTTAGCCGAAGAGAAGACCCAGGGTGGGACGCCGCTGCTTATAGCCTCTCGGTACGGACACTTGGAGGTTGTAGACTACCTCATAGAGCACTGTAAAGCAAATGTGGAACTCGGGGGCTCTGTTAATTTTGACGGTGAGACTATTGAAGGGGCTCCCCCGCTCTGGGCGGCTTCTGCAGCGGGTCACCTTCCTGTGGTCAAAACGCTGTTAAAGCACGGCGCTTCTGTCAATAATGCCACTCTAACTAACTCCACGCCACTTCGAGCCGCCTGCTTCGATGGACATCTGGAAATTGTCCGCTACCTGGTAGAGCACAGAGCCGACATGGAGGTAGCCAACCGCCATGGCCACACCTGCCTTATGATCTCCTGCTACAAGGGCCATAAGGAGATCGCCAAATTCCTCTTGGACAAAGGCGCTGACGTGAACCGCAAGAGCGTAAAAGGAAACACGGCGCTTCATGACTGTGCAGAGTCCGGTAGTCTAGATATTATGAAAATGCTGCTCAAGTGTAATGCCCGCATGGAGAGGGATGGCTACGGCATGACCCCGCTCCTGGCTGCCAGTGTCACGGGTCACACCAACATAGTAGAGTATTTGGCCCATCAGCCTCGCACCTCCAGAGAAGAGCGCATAGATGCTCTTGAACTACTTGGTGCTACTTTCGTGGACAAGAAACGTGATCTTCTGGGTGCCATGAAATACTGGAGGAGGGCCATGGAGCTGAGGCAGCCAGGTGATAAAGCCTCTTCTCTGGCCAAACCCCCTCCTGGACCCCCTATCCCTGCCTATGGCTGCGCTCAGGAGGTAAACACTGCCGAGGAGCTGGAGGCTCTGATCACAGATCCAGATGAAATGAGGATGCAAGCTTTATTAGTCCGAGAGCGCATCCTTGGCCCCTCCCACCCAGACACTTCCTATTACATTCGTTACAGGGGGGCAGTGTATGCGGACTCAGGTAATTTTGAACGCTGCATCAGTTTGTGGAAGTATGCTCTGGACATGCAGCAGAGCAATTTGGACCCCCTCAGCCCCATGACTGCCTCCAGCTTCCTGTCTTTTGCAGAACTCTTTTCCTTTGTGCTTCAGGACCGCGCTAAAGGCACTTTGTCCACACGCGTCACCTTTCATGACCTGATGACAGTTCTTGGGAAAAGTGTCAGAGAGGTAGAAAGAGCTATTGCACAGAGAGATAACCCCCCAGAGGCCCCTCAGTTCACCAAGGCCCTGTCCATCATCCTGCACCTTATCTTTTTGCTGGAGAAACTCGAGTGCACACCAGAGCAGGAGCACCAGAAGAAGCACACAGTGTATCGCCTGCTTAAACTCAACCCCAGAGGACGGAGTGGTTTCACGCCCCTGCACATGGCGGTAGACAAGGACACCACATCAGTGGGCCGATACCCTGTGGGCCGCTTCCCCTCTCAGGCTGTGGCCTCTCTGCTGCTGGAGTGTGGAGCAGATGTGGATTCACGAGACTGTGACAACAACACACCTCTGCACATTGCGGCTGCAAATGGCTGTCCGGAGATCATGGCTCAGCTCATGAAAGCTGGGGCCCACTTTGATGCCACAAATGCCCAGAGGAAGACAGCCTATGAACTGTTAGATGAGCAGAGCAGTGGACATCCAGCACTTTACCCTCTGAACTATGTGACCCTACAGTGCCTGGCGGCGCGGGCCGTGGAGAGGCACAGACTGCCATACAGAGGACTCATCTCCGAGGAAATGGAGGCCTTCATCGAGCTCCACTGACTCTGCTCTGCTTCAATATGCACTTGTGCACAGAATCATACCAGAGCATAGCAATAAAGCTCCTCTTCTGAGCTAACCTGTGTGACTAACACCACTGCTTTTGCTTTATAAAGTCATTGACTGTAGATCTCTAAATGAAAACATCTTTTGATTGGTTTACAGTTGGTTTGGAGAAGACGGCTAGCTTGATTAGGACTTGCCTGGTAATGAGCATGAATTTAAAATCTTTAAGACCTAAATATGCTGAAAGCTTTTTTTTCATAGTGTTGTTTGCTATGAAAATGATTTGAATGAGCTCCCGTGCCAAAAGTAGGCTTGATCCTAACAGACATGTTACATTTAAATGGGAATTTAAAGGTATTTGGAACTGCAGATGCTGCCCATTGTGTGATAAGATTAGACTGTCTTTGATTAGAGGCAGTGGTATCTGTTTACTACAAAGCACCCTTGTTAGCTAAAGCCCCGGTGTGTACAGACATCTATGCAGGTTGATAATCCACTCAGAGGTAACACTGAAAACCCACTCAACAAACAGCTTGCAACAGGATTATTGTTTGGGTCAGATGCTTTTCCCCACAGGGCCATGCTTTAAAATGGAATGATCATTTTGCTATAAATTGGTTTATATAAGGTTTATATCTTTACAAGGTTCATTGTTGATATCTATTTTTCTCTTGAGTTGGCTATTTTGAATGTGGTCTAAGTGTGCCTACATCTGTACTGTTGTTGACATCTCTGAAGCCAGATGTTCTCATATAAATGTACTTTTGGTCTTGTCTGCTCTACACAACAGTGAGATTAAAGGACATGGATTAGTCACATTTCTGAAATGTGTTAAATTTCCCCATAATTCCTAGATACTGTCCACACGAATGTATTGGGTGGGTTAATCTGCCATAGTTTCATTTTAGTCTTATTTTTATTAGCATCTCTTTTGTTGGTCTTGTGTCATCATGGAGGAATTGCTGAGTGCAAAATTGCAAAGCACAGTTTTCAAAATGACTGTACATTAGGGTAACAAACTGATGATGCCTTTCTTTCTCAACTGATTTATTTAACAGACCCAAGAACTAAAGTGTATCTGAGATACTTGAATAAAATTCAGTATCCCAATATTCTGAGTCTGAGTGACTTGTTTTCACTTGTTAAGATCTTGAAGTCTTCCATGTGTCCTAAAAAGTCAGTATTGAGCTATTAAAACTGAATTGTCTGATTTGACTCGTGAGACCCGGAATTTTATAATTACATTCTATTTCAATGCAAAATGGTTAGCCTGCTATCACAGCATTAGCAGCAGTATATTCCAGTGGGCTTTCCTCTGCTCACTTAAGCGCGAGGATGCCAAAATAAAGCATAACAGAAATCTGATCTTTCCAAGTTGTGAACTCTTTAAGTATAAATAGCGTGCAATTAACGTCACTGCTTCAGGGCAGTGCTAGAGACAGGGCTCTTACTCGGCTAATTTTAGGGATCTTTTGCCCTAGCTTCAATTCTGAAAATGGGAATACTGTAATGCTATACAGTCAGGCAGGTCACAGGGTTAGCAGCCAAGATAACAGGAGGCTTTATTGTAACATTATCCCTTAACCCAAGAAAAATTTTCATAACCTCAGACATTTTCTTTCTGCTGTATTTAAAATACACTTAGATTGGTCCAGCCAGGAAGCCCCAGCTGGTTAATGACATTTTGATTATCATATTTGTGCTCTATTGAGTATATACAATACATTTGCTGACCAGCCAAGAGACAACCTTTGACATTTCCTTTCAAATTGGTGAGTAATTGCTGTAATTGAGTCATTAAAGTCAAAATTTATATATTGACCCAGGAAATGGGGCTTTACTAAGGTCAATAGGTCAAAGCACTGGCATTGTTCAGAAGACACAAAGGATTTATGTTCGCAAGCACGCCCGCAGTGCCTAGTACCTCCACTAGATGGCACTGCTAACAAAGAAAGTTACACACTGCAAACCTTTGTTCCTGAAACCGAAAGACAAAGTGTTTGCTGTATTTGCATATTCTTAATGTGATACAGATGTAGGCTTTGTATGATGTCACTCAGATAAACAACATGCCAAAATCTGAGTCTGATGGTGGTTCTTAACTCAACCAAATAGTGAGATAAGAACTCTTCACAGACTGAATTTCTAACAGCACTGCATAAGTGTATGGACATAGCACTGCATTAAGCATCCTTAAGCACTGTACCACGCTTCTCCAACACCCCACGCCCTATTCTGTTTGTACGCCCTTCTGCAATATTGTGTGACCCATATAGGATAACCCCCCCACCTACTGCAAAACACTGAGCCCTTTTGTCACTTTTTAACCCTGAAAATGCATATATTATTCAATAGGCATCTTTAGAACACAAATGCATGTACAGTGGTCAGCCAACACGGTCTGTATTTCCAAAGGCTATAGTCCTTCATGAATCCGTCTGATTTAATATTGCATCCATTCGACCTTGGTTGTTGAGAGACATGTCTGAGCTGGCCTTCACAGTGGCATCCACATGAAGCCCGTGAAATCTAAAATAAAATATTAATTCACAGCAGCATAGCCAATAGCACTTTTGTTCACACAGGGATGACAATGCCTAAATATTAAAATCACCTCCTGTGTGATGTTGTCCTCAGCCTTACCTTTTCTTGTACAATAATGAGCTACCACCCACAACAATCACTGCAATTTTGAACGCATTTAGTAAGGGACTTCTGAACTTCTGAAGCAGATATGGGACCCTATAAATCTGTATTTCTGCCAACAGCTATAATTAGACACTACATTATGGGAATCTACAAGGTTTCAAAGTGCTTATCTGCCCTGTTTGCCCCATGGGTGCTCAGATTTGGTGTGGAGAACTAAAGCCAATACAAGACCTGGTGTAAACCAGAGTGGTAGGAGGAAGGAGGGGGGTGTAATGGGGGCAATAGGGGTGATGGGGGATACGGTTGCTATTGGAGATCAGCGCCTGCATCACGTCATGGCAACTGGGAGGGGGGAGGAGAGAGGAGAGGGAGAGAAAGAGAAAGAGAGAGAGAGAGAACAGGAGGAGGGCGGTAAGGAAGGATACAAGGCAGGGAGTATCAATGACATCAACTGGCTGGATGTGAGGCCGTCCGACCGGCGATGAGCTCCTGACAAAACCCCGACCAAGGAGCAGCAGAAGCCGAAGTAGCTCTTTCCAAATTTCCCGGTACAAAAAGCCGAGTGTTAGATGCAGCCTCCAGCCCACAAAAAGGCAGACACGTTTTCTCCGAGGGAGCCCCTGCCTGGATTACATTCCGCTTTCGCCTCGCCGTTTCCGATGAAGAATCTCTCTGCTGCAAATCCACCCACATGCATCTAGCAGACAGAAACGAAGACACAGGAGCACTCCTTACCAGGTAACAAAAATACATTCATAAACTCTGCGTAAAAAGGCACGCACCCCACCCTGATGTAGCGTTTTGCACCTGTCGGTTTACCTTTTGAAGAAGTACCTAGCTTAAGAAGAGTGTTAGCTTGTGCAAATAGCTTTAGCGCGCTTCTCTCGGGACTTTCTGAGATATTTTTGGGTCTGATCAATTCTGGAGCTGTTGTTTTATGTATGTTGGACTACCACCAGGCAGGTTGGTAACAGCGCTGTGAGAGTGCGCGTCCGTCTTCAACCCCCACCTCTGACTGCTGGCTGGGCTGCATGGGGTACCTGGGCACGCTGGTGGAGCCTTTGTTCATTATCCACTCGATGCAAGTGGCTGCTGCTGATGGCAAAATAAAAGGTTGCCAGGGAACACTTCACTTTCTAGGTTCCAGTCTAAAGGATGCAAAACTTGCTAATGGGCTTTGGCACGTTTTTATGCAAATTATATGGTCACTCGTTTGCTTACAATATAGACTATATAAGCTTTTTAATAACAAAAAAGATACTGAGAACACAGGGATAAAGCGCATAAACTTTTGGAGACAATAGATCGCTTTTGCATCTGCCACTGTTAAACAACCCCATCTGCACACATGGTGTTTTGTTCCGCATAGACATACGTCTCATACGTCTATAACTACACACAGTAAGACTCAATAATAATGGATTAAGTCATGCATGTACGAGCCCTGTGCTTTTCAACTATAGGTCCATTCAGTGACACTATATTCACAGGGATATTCTTCCATTACATAGGTCATTATCATGTCAAATACAGTAGATCTATGTCCCTCCCCTTTACAAGTACTCCAAAGTATATTCACAAATTACCTTCATACAGTGGTATGTTATAGATAATGATACATGTAATAGTTAATACATTAATGCAAGTGTCATTGCATTATCAGCATTCATCTGAAAGAATGATCATCATAGTATGCTTGATACAAAAATAGTCATTATATTGCAACAATGCTATGGTCTCCCTCCATTTCATCAAATAAATATTCCTACAGCTGTAAATCAGCATTACCAAAGCAAAGATGAGAAGAGTTTAGTGCTTTTTGTAAATGTGAATTGTGGTTTAATGTTTTAAAGTGTACTTTTCACTTTCTCGCATCCCCCTCTCACAAAATCACTCATGCACAGACTACCTTAAATAGCATTTTGCCAGAGTTCAAATACAGGCCTCTAAGCTCCCTCTTATTCCTTGTGTATGATCCATGAATATTTCTGGTGACGTCTTCTCCCAGTGGTTTTGGTTTCACGTCAAAAGCCCTATTTGAAGACTTCTTCTTAGAGTGTAGTGTTATAACCAACTCCTACACTTTTTCTATAGGCCTAGATTTTGTCAGGATATCTGGGTAAATCTGAGTGTACAAGTCAAAAAAGAGGTGAAAAGTCACTTTAACTTAGCTGCAGCATGCGTAGCCACCTGTACCACCAGCAAAAAGAACATTGTTGAGGCATTCGTATTAATTGACCTTTTCAAAATCTTTCAAACAGTAAGCTTTTGTCTGGCCTGAGCATCTAAGGGCTGTTTATACAAAGGATGGAGAAAGTGCAATACAGGAATACAAAATTAACTCCTTAAGGCTCTCAGCAATTTCATCCAAATACAGAAGTAAACAATGGAAATGCAATGCTTCTGCTTCTAAATGGCTGATTTCAGTGTTTTAAAAGTGCATTTGTTTAAGCAAGAAGCCTCTTGAGATAGACCTGGAATTGTTTACATATAATAGCGCAAATGTCCCCATCAGTTAACATACATATACATTAGCTGCATATTAATGTATGAAAACAAGCTGGTCTTTATGAGAATCCCTTATAGCACAAAGTCTGAGCTTCACACTGAATACAATTTACATAAAGTAAATAGAATTAAAACAGGTTGTATAAGATGTGCCGCAGGATATATGCATTCTTGTTTAAAGAATCATTTGTTGGTGTTCATTTGTATGGATCATTCCATGAAACCATGTTTCTAGATTTATTTTCTCTAGCATGTAATAATTGAGGCAAAATAACTTCTGATTTTCAGAAACCAAAACATCTGTTTTTGATGCAGAATGTCTGTGAACATTTAGGTTATAATTTAGAAGAGAATATGTTGTTTGAAAACACTCTAGTCAAACATGTACAAACCTGATTGTAATGAAGAATCATCATGACAAAATGTTTTTAACTTTCCCATAACATTCTTTGTTATTTTAGGCTAATTCATAAAATGCCAGATGAAGCTGCATCTTTAAGCATTCATTATTTTGACCATGTGTATTTGTATGTGCACGTGCAGCTGTCCCCTCCATCCAGGCGTGCTTGAGTGAAGATTCAAAGATGGTTGTGACTTGACTGATGCCCTTCTCCAGATGAATCAGAGATTGTGATGTGTCAGCAGGGATGAATAATGCACACTGCTTCAGTCCTTCTCCTCCTCCGTCCTCTGTCTCCTCCTCTTGTCTCCAGTTATATGCCTGTCTTTTCATCAGCACTGCCACATCTGAAGACAACCACCCCACCCTTCTCCTCTCCCATCCTTCCCTATTTTTTCTTCTCTTGAAAAAAGGGCATGGCTTTCCCTTTGCTACCGCCAGGGTTGTCCTCTGGTCAACCCCACACTCCCCTTCTTTGACATCAAACTCATTTTTCTCCAAATGAAAAATATATTTCACTTCACCACACATTACTTCTGACATTCGTTTTGAAAATGTCTCACCACTGTGGCACATAGCTCATTATCCAATCACAGACAAGGAAGTGGTGCCATTGACTTGTGTTGACAGATACACCCCTGACTGACACGAATGATTAGGAGAGGTGTACTGAGTGACAAGATGGCTGAGGATGCTAAAAGACAAACTGCATGATCAGAACTAAGAGGGCGAGAGTGGGCATCCGCTTTGAAGTGTGTGTAGCTGTCCACTAGCCAATGTTCAAAGTATTCTTTTCACCTCGCTTCGGGCCAGTCCTCCTGAGTGTTATCAAGCTTGCAGTTTAAATTTTGCATAGAAAGTTGGAGACATGCATATGGACTGGAGGTGAGCCAAAGCTGAAGAAACGGTAAAAGCACAGACAGAATTCAAATTAGTACAAATAGTCAAAGTATGACTGACTAATATGGGAAAAATAAATTGTGATTTTTAAAATATGAACTGAAAAACTAATACAAAAATCACATTCCAGAATATATTTGTACAGATCTTAATTGCAAAGGTAGTAGTATTCATGCAGAATAATGAGGGATATTTTGTTGTTTATGGAGGAAAATATAGGACTGAAAAATTGTAGCATCCATTCATATTGCGATTTCTATTTGATTGTGATTAATCTTGCATCCCTAATTCACTGCATAATCAGGCATTTTAATTTAAGGGTAAATTCTTTAACCTGCTACTTATATATTCAGTAGGATCTGATCTCACTCAAAAACACAGTACAAAGCTGCAGTACAATTTTCTAACTGTAAAAAAAGAAGAGAGACACACAAGCCAGTTCCACTCACCACCATGTTCTAGGTGCTCTACTGCAGTCAGAGTCCACAAACAAAGACAAGGTTACATCTCACCTCCATGCTGCAGTTAATGAAAAACATCTGTACGATTTCACTAAACAGACATGCTCTACTCAAACGTTACCATGGCAGGGCAGACATGCAGTATCAAGGCTCGATACGCTAGAAAATCTAACGGTTTGGAAAGTTTCAAAGTGTGTTTGACAGATTTTTATGATTCCCTAATTTTGACTTAATTTGGTGGGATTATAACTACTACAAATATAAATTATAGTTTTACACAAATCAAGAAGCAATTTCCCAAGAAAATGTGAAAAAATGTGTTGAAAATTAAAGGAAGTAGAGTTCAAGCATATTGATGACATCACACTAGGGACAATTTTATCCAAATGCTCAGCACATTTTACATATATACAGTTTTTCTAATACTTAAAACATGATTTCTTATATTTGTAGTTGTCAGTAATAAATTATGTGTATATTAGAAGAGTTTTGCTAGGTAACAGATTTTGCCAGGTAACAATTTCCAACAAGGACATCAAAATTTCAACTTACAAACTGGTCAAAGTGAGTAGTCTAACATGTTTAATGGTGGCATGTAGTCCTCTGTTAGAATGTTGTGCTTTGTGCAGGTGGCTGACACAATCCATGTTTGTTTTTGGCCTTTCATGATTACTCTGTCTCCACTTGGGCTGAAGGATGCCATCACCAGCGCACTGTTTGTGTGAGTGAGTTGAGAATAATGGACAGTCATTGGGGGAAAGCATGCGTGTGCGAGCCTGTTCCCCTTGACAAGCATTTTGTCTCTCCCTTTACTGTGACACTTGGCGATTTTTGGCAATGACACTAAGGACAAATGCAGTTTTTCTAGCCCATTACGTCGACTTTCAATTCTATTCACAACTTTACTGCCCCTCAAGGAGAGATCCATCCGCCGTTGCAAATCCCATCTCCATCCTCACATCATGGGCAGGCCCGGTGACAGGCTCCGGCTTGTCCCTGGCTGTGTGGCACGGAAATGCAATTTGCTGAAGTTTTTGGAGAAGTATTTGTCGTCAGTGATATTGTTGACAGCATTTAAAAAGCTTGTTACCTTTTTGCTTTTTTAAAATGAATTCTTTGCCTTGCAGTTCCCAGCCTTGATGGTGAAAGTATTTTGTTTGATGCAGCATTAGATCATTACAAGAAGCTAAGCAAAGTTGATGACAGTTGATACAGTTTTTTATTTATTTTTTTATGTCTACTGTAGTATTATTAGGCCTGTCATGATAACACATTTTGAAGCATGATATATTGCTACAGAGAAATATTGAGATGAATGATAATATAGAAACAAATTTATTTCTGTCACAATAACAATAAAGCAGGACCATCACAGTGAACCTTTTTTAACAGTATCATAAAAAAAGATGAACTCCAACAAATAAATAACAGAATGAACAAATAATTACACAAAAAGTACTTGTTCAACC